GGCGTCTGTGGATTCATCAAATAATACTTTGCAAAAAACAAACGGGCTAGCCGCAAACGTCCGTGCCGTATAGCGTGAATAACCCTGTATATATTGTTTTCAGTTTTCGCGCAAAATTAGAAAATTTAAATTTAACGTGGATCTTAAAAACCGCCCTTAAGCTCTGGCTCGAATTTAGAGAACCGGTTGAGCTGTAAAGCTCCAGTTGTCATTCCGGTTAGAGCACTAAAATACGCTCCTTCTTGAATAAAACATCAATTTAGAAAATTTTCTAGTTTACGCGCAAAATGGGAAAATTTAAAATTAACGCGGATCCCCAAACCGCCCTTACTCTTTGGCTCATATGAAGAGAACCGGCTGAGCTATAAAATTCCCGTTGCCAGTGACGATAGAGCATTAAAATACGCACCTTTTTATGTAAAACATTTAAAACAAAACAATTTATAGTTTTTATATTTGTTGCGCAAAATTGGAAAATTAAAAATAAAGGCAAAAACCTAAACCTCCCTTAGTCTTTAGCTCATATTAAGAAAACCAGTTACGCTGTAAAGCTGCCGTTACCATTGCTGCATAGAGCATTAAAATGCGCATCTTTTTTGTATAAAACATTAATTTAGAAATGTTTCTCATTTTCATGCAAAACGGAAAATTGTCTTCTAAAAACCGCTCTTAATCTCAACCATAAAAGTGGGCAAATGTAATAGAAAGTAGATGATCCATGAATAATTTACAGGTCCATCGGAAGTGATCAATAGCTACCTTTTGTCCCTGGCAGTGGCCGATTTGCTATGCGGCGTCATCGTGGTTCCACTTTCCGTATATCCGGCAATAATCAAAGACTGGGTATATGGGGATGTTCTGTGCCGCCTGCTCGGATACCTCGAGGTAATCCACATGCCACCCCCGTTGCCAATTTGCGACTTTTTCCCTGTTCCAGGTAACATTATGGGCGGTAACCGTCTACACGTTCATGTGGATCAGCGTGGATCGCTATCTGGCCGTGCGGAAGCCGCTGCGCTACGAAACGCTGCAAACGAAAACGCGCTGCCAGTGCTGGATGGCCTTCACCTGGATCTCTTCGGCCATGCTGTGCTGCCCGCCACTGCTCGGCTTCAATCAGCCCTTGTTCGATAGGGACGCCTATGTCTGCATGCTGGATTGGGGCAGCATGGCCGCCTATTCCGCCACCCTTTCCATTCTGATTCTAGGGCCCAGCCTAATCACCATCGTCTACACCTACTCCTACATCTTCATGATGCTGAAGAGGTTGCGCAGCGGGTATCCGTTCCACGACAAAGAGTACGCAACAGCCTTATCGGAGAATCTTTCCAACCCCAGCCACATGATGTCCTTCGCCTTAGTCGTCGCCTTCTGGTGCTCTTGGACGCCTTATATTAGCGTCAAGCTCTACGAGTACTTTACTGGCGTGAAGTTCCAGATGCAGTTTCTTCACTTTGGCGTCGTCTGGCTGGGCTTCCTCAACTCCTTCTGGAAGGCGCTCATTCTGATCATTCTGAGTCCGCAGTTCCGGTTTGCGTTGCGAATATTCTGCATGACGATTTGCTGCAAATACAAAGGCCGCCTGCAGGCCGAACTGATTGGCATGGAATCGGATGACTGACTAAAAAGGAGCTGCCTGAAGAACCTCAACATTCTGAATCGGGAATTCAGTCTCACCGGCCTGGCCATGCACGACTTTGGCTTCATTGTGGGCAAAATGCGCAAGTATTGGTGCCAATCTTCCACCAAAACGGCACGGGAAAACGATGGGAAACTCAAACGGCCGATATCGATATTGTGATGATGCGTTTGCATTCGTTCGACGACTGAAATGCGTGTTTTCTAATAGGGATTTTTTCAAATTTAGCTGTAGCAGTTGAAATTCGAGATAAATGCTCTTTTTTCACTCTCAATCGGACATTTGATGGCCGAAAACTCATAAAACTGCTATTGGATCGACCTAAAACTGGTAACTTTTTCGGGCTGTTATTAGGCCGACTTGGAAAATAATTTCTTGCTGACGTTTCGTGAGCACGAGTGGCTTGCAGCTTCAGAGCTGTTAAAGTCACCTAAGGCCACGAGGCCTTGAAATCGCGAAAACTCAGCAGTTTCAGCAAATGATTGATCAGAAGACTTTGGTTTGAAACTGGTGAGTTTGGGAAACTGGCGTAAGAAACATCAGCAAAAAATTATCTTCCCGAGGGCCCAAAATTCCGAAAAACGCACGAGTTTCCTAATTACAGTATGCCATACAGAAATCGATGCAGTTCCCGTTGGGACCTGTATGGTCCTGCTAGCCCAATATACTAATTTTTCACTCACAATTGAATATTTTTTTATCGAATTCTAAACAAAATGTCAATTCAATATAAGCAAAAAATGAAATAAACTATTGTACAGGGCGTTTAAACACTGCAATTTTTTCTTTGTCAAAGATTTATTCTTTATGCGTGCAACATCGGGTACTGAGAGCGAAAAAAAGAATACGATGTCATGACCTTATGTCTTCTCAATACTGTGGAGCTCGAATCGTCTGCTTATCCTGAGCCATTTGAGAGACATTCATTTTTTTATGGCCGGTCACATTTTCCGCGCTAAATATTGCAGCAAATGTAACCGGTCATAACAAAATTAATATCTCTAGAACGGCTAAAGGTGCAAATTACTCAGAAGACCTGAGGCCATAACATCGTATACTTTTTTGTTGACTGATCAGTTGATTGCAGAAGGATTTCAACTTTAACCAACCTCCTACATGATCATGGCACTATTTAAACAGCCTGTACAATATGTGTTAAACTGTGAAATTTTGTCCAAGAATTTGAAGAATTGAAGAAGAAAAGGCCTTTCGGCATCAAATGATCCATTGCTCTTTACTATGGCCTGGAGATAGAATAGTTTCCTGTACATGCTTGTAGAATTAAAGAGCATTTTCCTTGTTACATATGTTATATATGTCAATTAACATAGACTATTAAGCCACTTTAAGGTTCTAGAGTTTCATTAATCAAATTTTAAATCCACGCTGCTGTTTTAGAAGTTGCGGATGAGAAGAGTTTCAAATCAAATCGATTCAATCAAACATCGCCAGCTGTTAATTAGTTCTATGAAGGAGTTTAGTTTTGGCACAATTTTGTACAATAACTACTTTCTTAGGCGTTCGGGCACGTTAAAATCGCCTCTTTCCGCATCGACACCCTCTTTGACTTAACGAAACCTCGATTGTACCTCCCTCTCAATGAGCAATTGTGTCGCCAATGCAGAACTGCGATCTGCCGCTTTCTAGGTTGGTACTTTTTACTACTATTGACGCCAAGCTAGTTTGTAGGTTTTAATGTAGATATCATTCTAAAAGTGTACAGTTAGTAGATTGATGGCGCGGAGATCGAGAAGCATCAATGGAATCGACAATTTTTACATAACTGTGTTTTAGGCTATTGTTAAGACACTTGTTTATTGTTCTCAGCAATTTTTGATGTGTACTTGATTTCATGTTTTCTAACAATAATACACTTGGGGTGTCCAAACGGATGGGCGGATCAAACACAGGCAAATCAGACCTGGATGGCTACTGATGATGGAAACGAATTGTTTTCGGACACCCTGTACACTGATCTCGTAATTTCGTTGTTACGTGGCAATAATAGAGAACAGTTTTATTCGATCAATGTAGAATTCTGCATGTGACACGCTGTTATCTGCTCATCATTTGAATGACATTTTGTAATATAGGATACTAGTTTTCTACTGTTAACAAGCGCGTTATCAAAAAAATAAACTTTTAACTTGTCAAAAAACGTTGTTCAGAATTAAAATATTTTAAAATAAATATTTTATTCAATTAAAGTCGAGTTTTTGTGCGCTAAAAAGCTTAAAATCGAATCGAGTCATTATTCAAAGGCTAGCCTGTGGATTGTCCTGCAATTTATACAGCGTTTGCCTAATATATCAGTCTCGGAAACTAGCAAGTTTCAACCAAATGGGACTTGGGGCTGATCGATGGGAAACTTTTGAGTCCAGTCAGAAAAAATTCGTATTACAGCAACAGGTTTATGCGCCTACTTAAGGCCATTTCAAAAAATCAAAGTTAGTTTTACAAAACTGCACCTACCATTGAACTGTGCATTTCGCAACCCATTTATTGCCGGAAAATCTCAAAACTGCACTAAAAGCACCAAAATGTCTCTAAAAATCCACTCTAACCTTGGCTAATGTTAATATTAACACCCGCGTTGACAGCAAACGTCAGAAAATTGGCAAAGTGAAAAATCGCGTTTAATTGTAGAAAAACGCACTATCGGTCGCGGAAAATCCGCAAAATGACGACGAAAAACATTTTCTTTCAGAACATAAGCAATTCTTCAATGAAAATCGAAAAAAACCCGCGATTTTTCGCAAAAATCACGCCGACTAATCATTGAACAACTAATTTGACGCATTGAGTAGACATCGACGTATATTTGAATGCTTCTAGAATATTCAAGGTTATAATTGAACTGAACAAGTCAACGGTTTATAAAACCTTTTGCCCCAAAAACGCACTTATTACTGAAAATCCGCCGAATAAGGAAACTTGAACAATTTGGCACCAAAATATTCTCTTCCAACTAATAAAACTCAGCTGGGGACAAATTGGAGATAGCAAGCCGGTCGGGCGTTTCCGGTCGTAAAAGCGATCATGCCAACCGAAAAAAACTCATTACTCCAAAGCAAGCCTGTGGATTGTCCTACAATTTTTACAGCGTTTTCCCAACATATTAGCCTACCATACTTTCAAGTTTCAATGAAATTAGACTTGGGGCTGATTTGTGGCAAACCGGCAAACTTGAGGGGGAATTTTTGAGTGAAGTTAAAATAAAAAATTCATATTGCAACTACAGACTTTAATAGTTATCTGCAACTTGTCCAGTATGTACGCAAAATATCAGTTCTTCGAAATGTCGAAGTCCATTGAAATAGGGCGAAGGGTTAAATATTGGCACCTTCTCAGAGTTGACTCCTGAAGCAGGAAAATTTTAGAGATTATTAGCAAATAAAAAATCGCTTTTGTACGCTAGGAAGCTGTATTGACCTAGAATGTATACAATGTTTTTATAACATATCAGGCTGCTAAACTGGCAAGTTTGTCCCAAATTGAGATTGGGGCTGATTTTGATGGCAAATTTTGGGGTCGCGCCTGGAGTAAAAATTCGTAACTTGACAACAGACCTGACTGGTCATCTACAATTTATACAGTCTTTACACAACATATCAACCTATTGAACAATGAAATTTCATCAAAATCAGGAAAAGAGTTGAATTTTCGCAAGTTGTCAAAGTTGGCGCAAAAATCTAGAAAAGTTTTCTATAGGGCGCAGAGTGCAAAAAATCGCTGCTCCAAGCCGGGTTAACCCAAAACAGGCCTGTAATTGATATATTTTATGTACTTAGATACGGAAATGCTTCCTGCCTTCACCACTAATTGGAAAACGTCGCGTGACTTTTCTTGGGGAAATGCTGCAGGATTCATTGATCGCAACCGAAACACGAGCTTTAACTTTTCTATGCGGAAAATTTGAGGATTTTTCAAACCCTTATGCGACAGTGAGAGATTTTCTGCGGAAAAAGTTGCTCCTGTGGTAAGCCGATAAAACTCATGGATCTCCAGTAAATTGGACTTGAGGCTCCAAAGTCTCGATCCACTAAGGGAGTTTTATTGACTGAAGCGACTCCATTCACCCTGTGTATATGTGGCGGATCCATCCATAAGTCCGAAAACAAATAGGCGTTTTGTATGAACAAAGTAAAAACTAACGGGCCAAACAAAGGCAAAACACGACTCCTTTCGTTGCACCTTGGGTCCGACTGTATCTCTGGATCGATGCGGAGTTCTGGATATGGAACGGAAAACGGACAGTCTCTTTCGCGCTTCCGCAGAGTACGCAGCAAAAGAGGAGTTGCCCATTTTCCTCTGAAAATTGAATGGAACTGTTCGTGTCTTATCTGGCATCTGATTAGTTCCAAGCCCTAAATCCTTCTCACTGCAACATACACATGAAATCAGTCAATTTCCTCTGGTCACCTATGCGATTTAATGCGATCACTCTTTACATTTCGTTGTGCGTTCCTGGTTTATAAAAGAGGTAAAACAGTTGACAATTTTTTTCGTTTGCTAACAAAACACGCTTGATTTTCATCGTTTTTTAGATTCTGCGACTGTGCTGTTTTTTACATTGTAGGCCTGCTTCTAGTCATTTAGAATCATCAGCAAATTAAAACCATTTGTGAGGAGACTTGCGTTTTATTGCCATCATCCTGCAGCTTCCAGCGTAGTCATCGAACATCAGGAATGTGTAGACTTAGTTGACGTAGAACAGCGACCATTTCATTAATTTACACTGAGCAGGAATCTAAGTTAAAGAAGCAAAACCTGCTCTCATTCCATTCAGTGATGAGTTGTACATACTCTGTATAAATTTTATGCCAATAGCCATTTTTTTATTTGCGCCCTCCAGTAAGGTTTCTCTTGTTTTGTGGGTCAAGTTTCAGGACTAGCCAAAATTCAACTATTTGCCCAATTCTGATGAAATTTCACAGTTGGGCAGGCTGATGAATTGTGTAAATACTGTACAGATTGCAGTTAACTTTTTAAGCCTGTGGAGACGATACGAATTTTTTTCTTGCCTCGACCCTAAAGTTCCCCCTCGAGTTTGCCGGTTTGTCACAAATCAGCCTAAAGTCCAATTTTGTTGAGACTTGCTAGTTTGGCAGGCTGATATGTTGGGCAAACGCTGTATAAATTGCAGGACAATCCACAGGCTTGCTTTGGAGTAATGAGTTTTTTTCGGTTGGCATGATCGCTTTTACGACCGGAACCGCCCGACCGGCTTACTATCGCCAGTTTGTCCCCAGCTGAAACCGTGGCTCCAAAGACTGGCCCGATGGAGCCTCTGAGGACATTCGGGTCCGAAGACCCCTCATGGAACTACGTAATGTTGCCGAACAGCGACGCTTCCCCTTCGCCACTTATTGGAAAAGCTCGCGTAAATTTTCCTGCGGAAATGCTGCAGGACGATTCCGATAACTTCTACCGACCCTCATTGATGGCACGCCGCAACCGAAGCATGAGCGCCTGGAGTGAAATGAGCAGTTCTTGGAAATTGGACGAAAGGTAACCAAACTTGTATAGTTGAGGGAAATTGCGCCCTAACTTTGCTATGCCCGGGTTTTGAGAAGTTTTTAAAGCTCAAAACGCAAGTCTCAAGCTTCCTGCGGGAAAAGTTGCTCTTGCTGAAAGTCGATAAAACGCATGTTTTTCCAGTAATATGGATGTAAAAATCCCAAGTCTGGAGCTGCTAAGTGAGTTTTATTAGTCGAATCGGGTTTTTTGGTGCTGGATTATTCAAATTTCCCTATTCGATTCTTGCTAGGTGGATTTTGTTTATAAAGTGAGTTTTTGGGGCAAAAAGTTTCATAAACCGTTAAGTTGTTCAGTTGAGTTATCAATCTATAAGCTTTCAAAAGTGCGCCGATGTCAGCTCAATGCGTCAAATTAGTCTGTTCAATGATCAGTCAGCGTGATTTGCTCCTCAAACTTTGCGAAAAATTCCCGGTTTTTGCCGATTTTCATTGGAAAACTGCTGATGTTCTGGAAGAAAATGTTTTCCGCCTCCATTTTGTGTTTTTTCCGCGACCGATAGTGCGTTTTTTTAGAAAAAAACGCTATTTTTTACTTTGCCAATTTTCTGACGTTTGCTGTCACCACTGTGAGGTTGTGGACATTCAAGCATTTCCTTAGTAGGAGTTTTACCGACAGAGCGATGTTTTGAAGGTAGGTGCGGTTTTATTAACCTGTAATTTCTTGAAATGGCCTTAAATGGGCGCCAATTAAGAGCTTTTCCATAAACATAAACACACAAACAGAAACTGTGTGAATGGCACCAACACAACCCGGTTTTGCGTAGGTTGGCGCAGTTTTAAAGGTGAATTTACCGACTTTTGCGCTACTTTCCGTGTGCGTTGCTATCAAAAGCTGATAAAAAACAAAATACTGAAGGTTTCTACGGGAAAAGTTGCTCTTGCTGAAAGTCGATAAGACGCATGGTTTGCCATATACAGGGTTGCTCATTAGTGCGTCAAAGTGCGATATCTCAGTAAATATGAACTTTACAAGAAAATACGTCCTACGAAAGTTTTTCATGT